AGATAGATTTTATTTCGATCAGCGGGACATGCGGGACATTGAAATTTGTATTAGATAAAAAAATACAATTTATTTTTTTCTTATAAGATAGATAGACTTTTTCGACCAGCGGGACATGCGGGACATTGAAATTTCTATTAGATAGAAATATACAATTTTTTTTTCTTATAAGATAGATAGATTTTATTTCGATCATCGGGACATGCGGGACATTGAAATTTGTATTAGATAAAAAAATACAATTTATTTTTTTCTTATAAGATAGATAGATTTTATTTCGATCATCGGGACATGCGGGACATTGAAATTTGTATTAGATAAAAATATACAATTTATTTTTTTCTTATAAGATAGATAGAATTTTTTTTGATCATCGGGACATGCGGGACATTGAAATTTGTATTAGATAAAAAAATACAATTTATTTTTTTCTTATAAGATAGATAGATTTTTTGATTAATGGGACATGCGGGACATTGAGATTTCTATTTAAAAAAAAGAATTTTTTTCTTTGGAAACATAAATTTTTCGATGAGCGAGTCATGCGGGGCATGAACTTTTTTTTTGTTTTAATTATATTATTCTAAAATGCGTGTTATTCGATATTTAGCGAGTTGATTAATTTGTTACAGAGTAGTCGATCAGTAGGATAATAATTAAATTCAGAAGAATCGAATTTCAGATGTAAAAGATAATTTAATATTTAGTTAGGCTTTTCTCATTGTTTAATATTTGGTAGATTGTAAAAAATAATTTTTTTTAAATACTGATCGGATTTGATTTTTTTATTTCAAAAAATAATTTTATTAAATAATTTTATTTGATGTTAGTTTAAAATATAGGAACTGGATAAAGTATTTTTGTAATGCAGAATGAATCAATTGAATTGTTTAAAAGTTCCGAGCAGTTGACTTGGCATGTGAAGGGCGATATTTTTCTAAAGCTTTATTAAATATTGGATGACACTAATCATTTTTTTTTGTATGGAATAAATAGTCATATATAATGATA